TCCAACAACCCACCAACACTGCTGAGTGCAGCAGTGTTCCAACAACCCACCAACACTGCTGAGTGCAGCACAGTGTTCCAACAACCCACCAACACTGCTGAGTGCAGCACAGTGTTCCAACAACCCATCAACACTGCTGAGTGCAGCACAGTGTTCCAACAACCCACGAACACTGCTGAGTGCAGCACAGTGTTCCAACAACCCACCAACACTGCTGAGTGCAGCACAGTGTTCCAACAACCCACCAACACTGCTGAGTGCAGCACAGTGTTCCAACAACCCACCAACACTGCTGAGTGCAGCACAGTGTTCCAACAACCCACCAACACTGCTGAGTGCAGCACAGTGTTCCAACAACCCACCAACACTGCTGAGTGCAGCACAGTGTTCCAACAACCCACCAACACTGCTGAGTGCAGCAGTGTTCCAACAACCCACCAACACTGCTGGTGCAGCACAGTGTTCCAACAACCCACCAACACTGCTGAGTGCAGCAGTGTTCCAACAACCCACCAACACTGCTGAGTGCAGCAGTGTTCCAACAACCCACCAACACTGCTGAGTGCAGCAGTGTTCCAACAACCCACCAACACTGCTGAGTGCAGCACAGTGTTCCAACAACCCACCAACACTGCTGAGTGCAGCAGTGTTCCAACAACCCACCAACACTGCTGAGTGCAGCACAGTGTTCCAACAACCCACCAACACTGCTGAGTGCAGCAGTGTTCCAACAACCCCACCAACACTGCTGAGTGCAGCACAGTGTTCCAACAACCCACCAACACTGCTGAGTGCAGCAGTGTTCCAACAACCCACCAACACTGCTGAGTGCAGCACAGTGTTCCAACAACCCACCAACACTGCTGAGTGCAGCAGTGTTCCAACAACCCACCAACACTGCTGAGTGCAGCACAGTGTTCCAACAACCCACCAACACTGCTGAGTGCAGCAGTGTTCCAACAACCCATCAACACTGCTGAGTGCAGCACAGTGTTCCAACAACCCACGAACACTGCTGAGTGCAGCACAGTGTTCCAACAACCCACCAACACTGCTGAGTGCAGCACAGTGTTCCAACAACCCACCAACACTGCTGAGTGCAGCACAGTGTTCCAACAACCCACCAACACTGCTGAGTGCAGCACAGTGTTCCAACAACCCACCAACACTGCTGAGTGCAGCAGTGTTCCAACAACCCACCAACACTGCTGAGTGCAGCACAGTGTTCCAACAACCCACCAACACTGCTGAGTGCAGCACAGTGTTCCAACAACCCACCAACACTGCTCATGTTACTGAACAAACTTTTACTTGGGATTAAAAGTAAAGACGTGGAGACTCTTGCGCATTATTATAATCAAGGGGGAAACGCTAAACCCGTAGGATTATACAGCGCCTGTGGGGGGGATGTGGAAGGTATTCAGGCTTAATTCAGGGAACTGGAGCACAGATCCAATTCCCTACATCAAGAGCCTCTCACCAGCATCAAGGAACCTCCCTTGAGGGGAGACTTGTGCAACATCTGGGGATCTTCTATTGAGGAAACGTTTCGCCAATCAGTGGCTTGTTCAGTCCAATACAAAGAAGAACGGTGGAAGAGGAGGAGGAATTTGAGGCTTCCGAAATGTTTCCTCAATAAGGATTCCCAAATGTTGCACAAGTGTCTTATTCTTCAACTTGTCGGTTTTTCTAAACCTCTGCTGGCAGCGCTAAGAAGCGTGTGTTAGAGGTCAACAAAGTGCTTCAACACCCCATCACTACTTATTACAAGGTTAGAAAGGACACAGAGTCTCTGTTCTAAGTTCTAAGAGGCTAGAAAAGCTTATTAACACTGATCGCTACTGATTACAAAGCCAGTCAGGGCAGGGACATGAAAAATAGCCAGTGACAACGAATCAATACTCTCCACTAGCGAGGTATAATGAAACTTGGGGAGTCATTGTGTGAATCATCGTCTTGAGAATTACTGTTTGTGTAAATAATGAATGGCTGTCCTGCCATTAACAGAACCACAAGTCAACAAGGGCATTACCGGCATCTTCAGAGAAGCCACCTTAGGGAGCCCAAGTACATTCGTTCAGGGAAACGGTTCTAGCCGCTCCCCTGAACGAATGTACCTGGACTCCCTAATAATTTCTGCAACACTGCAAGCTCCTGAAGACGTGCTGATTGCAACACGAAAGGCCTAGAGCTATCATTCACCTTCCCCTGTGGTTATTTTGCATCTTTAATCGCTCGTTCGCGATTATTGCATCTCTCGGTGTATACACCCTCGGCGCTAATACCAACCAGTTGAAATATTACCCACTGCACTGTCTGGCAGGTGGTGAACAAATGACCGACGGTTTAAACTACTACCAAGAACCACAGAACCACTGGTAGCTGCGGACCGACCAAACAAGACTGAACCCACCGCTTCACTGGGGGGCTCGAACCACTGCACCCGAGTCTCCTTAGTTTACAGGAATGAGAGGGCAAAACTAGGGCCTACAAGAGAAGATAATACAAAGGGTAGAGAGTAACAAAAGCTACAAGCTACAGAAAATTAAAAGCTAGCCAATCATAGCCGCCTGCGTGAGTGACTGACACTTAAGGTTACTCGGGGGAGTGACACAAGAGGCAGTGCGTAAGTGCCAGAGGGAGTGACGAGAAGGATCCTTTTACTTCCTGCAAGCTACATGTATATACAGGTGAGATAGCTCAAATAGAAGGCTATCACACTAAGCTAACACTTATATAGCGTCTATATATTTATATATTTACAGTGAGGGGGAATACAATGAAAAAAAAATTGAGTAATAGAGACACTGCAAGTCTCTTGCAATATAAATGTTGAATATAATTAACAGTGACACACAGAAGGTGTTATAAGAAGCTATACCACAGTGACATGAAGATATTAATCTCTCGCAAGGATACAGGCAATGAATTACCTTCTACTCATTAACAGGTGAGAGGAAATTGAGTGCCACAAGGAGGTGCTTAAGGCGAAGATTTGTAAGCCATGGTGCCACTAACTTAACACGCAATGGCACTAACAATAATATATAACAATACAAAGTAGACTCACAAAGATAAAAACTGGTGTGTGTGTGTGTGTGTGTGTGTGTGTGTGTGTGTGTGTGTGTGTGTGTGTGTGTGTGTGTGTGTGTGTGTGTGTGTGTGTGTGAGTGCGTGCGTGCGCGTGTCTGTGTTCATGCCATACAATTATATGCAAGATTTTTTTGTGATTCTCCGCACACCAGTACACAGGTACACACAAGCACTTCGTCATCACACACCAGTACACAGGTACACACAAGCACTTCGTCATCACACACCAGTACACAGGTACACACAGCACTTCGTCATCACACACCAGTACACAGGTACACACAAGCACTTCGTCATCACACACCAGTACGCAGGTACACACAAGCACTTCGTCATCACACACCAGTACACAGGTACACACAAGCACTTCGTCATCACACACCAGTACACAGGTACACACAAGCACTTCGTCATCACACACCAGTACACAGGTACACACAAGCACTTCGTCATCACACACCAGTACACAGGTACACACAAGCACTTCGTCATCACACACCAGTACACAGGTACACACAAGCACTTCGTCATCACACACCAGTACACAGGTAACACACAAGCACTTCGTCATCACACACCAGTACACAGGTACACACAAGCACTTCGTCATCACACACCAGTACACAGGTACACACAAGCACTTCGTCATCACACACCAGTACACAGGTACACACAAGCACTTCGTCATCACACACCAGTACACAGGTACACACAAGCACTTCGTCATCACACACCAGTACACAGGTACACACAAGCACTTCGTCATCACACACCAGTACACAGGTACACACAAGCACTTCGTCATCACACACCAGTACACAGGTACACACAAGCACTTCGTCATCACACACCAGTACACAGGTACACACAAGCACTTCGTCATCACACACCAGTACACAGGTACACACAAGCACTTCGTCATCACACACCAGTACACAGGTACACACAAGCACTTCGTCATCACACACCAGTACACAGGTACACACAAGCACTTCGTCATCACACACCAGTACACAGGTACACACAAGCACTTCGTCATCACACACCAGTACACAGGTACACACAAGCACTTCGTCATCACACACCAGTACACAGGTACACACAAGCACTTCGTCATCACACACCAGTACACAGGTACACACAAGCACTTCGTCATCACACACCAGTACACAGGTACACACAAGCATTTCGTCATCACACACCAGTACACAGGTACACACAAGCACTTCGTCATCACACACCAATACACAGGTACACACAAGCACTTCGTCATCACACACCAGTACACAGGTACACACAAGCACTTCGTCATCACACACCAGTACACAGGTACACACAAGCACTTCGTCATCACACACCAGTACACAGGTACACACAAGCACTTCGTCATCACACACCAATACACAGGTACACACAAGCACTTCGTCATCACACCAGTACACAGGTACACACAAGCACTTCGTCATCACACACCAATACACAGGTACACACAAGCACTTCGTCATCACACACCAGTACACAGGTACACACAAGCACTTCGTCATCACACACCAATACACAGGTACACACAAGCACTTCGTTATCACACAACAGTACACAGGTACACACAAACACTTCGTCATCACACAACAGTACACAGGCACATAAAAGCACCATTTGCAAGTACACATACATCTACGGACAAGTTATTTCAGGAGGTAGAGACAGAAGCTGAGTCTGGACCCCTGCAACCAAACACAGGTGAAGTAGGTGAGGTCGCGCAAGCACGCACGCACACACACGCACGTACATGCACGCACACACACACACCATTTCGAAAATTCGTGAGTCTTAGGCTAGCGTCTCGACCAGCAGCGAGAGACCAGACTGGTGACCGGGTGGGCCAGCAGCGACTTCGATATACTTACCAACTCTTCGTCGTTGAGCGAAGCCCTGGGCACGGCGGAGGTCAGCCCTGCGTTCCTCTTCGTCGCCGCCATCGTCTGCCATCCAGCATGGAAGGGAGAGGGGATGGGACAAGGAAGGGGAAGGGAAAAAAGAGAAGAATTAGTCAAATCGCTCTTGTGTTTCGTGGCAGGGAGGGAAAATGAAGGATAAGGACAAAAAGGAGAGAATGAGTGAAACATTGCACTGCCCGTAATAGTGAAAGTAAGATAACGTTTCGCTCTACGCAGCGCTTTATCATGACCTCTCGTTAAGCTCTACAGACAGCGAAACGTTGTCTCAATAAAAATTGGCTTTGCAGCGTTTTCTTTTCCTGCACTGTTGTCCGCAGTACAGAAATTTTTACCTAAGAAATTAGCAGTGATGAAGACTGTAATGAGAATGACTGTACCTGAGGTAATGGTGGTCGTACAGACAACAGTAGTGACAACAGTGGTAGTAACAGCAATGGGTGGAATGAGGTTACTTGAGGAAATGGTAGTAACAGTGATGGGCGGAATGAAGTTGAGAAAATGGTAGTCGTATGGACACTGGAAGTGACAATAATGGTAGTAACAGTAATGGGTGGAACGCAATAACTTCGAGGTTGGAATAACAGAGAAATAAGAAAAAATGGAATTCGAGAAAGGAGAGAGAGAAAAAAAATTAGAGGAAGAAGAAAGAAAGGAGATAAAGACGTAAAAACAACTGCAAAACACTGAGATAACGAGAGGTATGAATAAGACATAATAAAAATGAAAGAGGAGGCAGAAAGAGGAGGGAAAACACGAAGTGATAATGGAAACTAGCTAGGATAAAATGGGTGTGTATGGTAGGTGATAAAGTAGAGTGATATAGAGAAGAGATATAGAATATAGTGAGGATACGTTGATGGTGATGATAAGAATGGTGTTAGCAATAGCAGTGGTGACGATGGAAATGGGAATTATGGTGGTAATGGTACAGTCATTACTCTCACAAGAGAAACTGAAACTACCATCAACAATCTCCCTCATCAACACTACCATCAACAATCTCCCTCATCAACACTACTATTAACAATCTCCCTCATCAACACTACCATCAACAATCTCCCTTACCAACACCATCAACAATCTCCCTCATCAACACTACCATCAACAATCTCCCTCATCAACACTACTATTAACAATCTCCCTCATCAACACTACCATCAACAATCTCCCTTACCAACACCATCAACAATCTCCCTCATCAACACTACCATCAACAATCTCCCTTACCAACACCACCATCAACAATCTCCCTCATCAACACTACTATCAACAATCTCCCTTACCAACACCACCATCAACAATCTCCCTCATCAACACTACCACCAACAATCTCCCTTACCAACACCACCATCAACAATCCCCCTCATCAACACTACCATCAACAATCTCCCTTACCAACACCACCATCAACAATCTCCCTCATCAACACTACCATAAACAATCTCCCTTAACAACACCACCATCAACAATCTCCCTCATCAACACTACCATCAACAATCTCCCATACCAACACCACCATCAACAATCTCCCTCATTAACACTACCATCAACAATCTCCCTTACCAACACCATCATCAACAATCTCCCTCAGCAACACTACCATCAACAATCTCCCTCGACAACACCACCACCAACACTCTCCCTCATCAACACTACCATCAGCAATCTCCCTTGGCAACACCATCAACAATCTCCCTCATCAACACTACCATCAACAATCTCCCTTGGCAACACCATCAACAATCTCCCTCATCAACACTACCATCAACAATCTCCCATGCCAACACCACCACCAACAATCTCCCTCGCCAACACCATGATCAACAATCTCCCTCACCAACACCAACAATCTCCCTCACCAACACAATCAACAATCAGCCTCACCAACGCCATCAACAATCTTCCTCACCAACACTATTAACAATCACCCCTCACCAACACCACCATTAACAATCTGCCTCACCGACACCACTATTAACAATCTCCCTCACCAACACCACCATCAACAATCTCCCTTACCAACACCATCATCAACAATCTCCCTCACTAACACTATCATCAACATTCCCTCTCATCAACACTGCCATCAACAACAATCTCCCTTGCCAACACCACCACCAACAATCTCCCTCGCCAACACCACGATCAACAATCTCCCTCACCAACACAATCAACAATCAGCCTCACCAACACCACCAACAACAATCTTCCTCACCAACACTATAAATAATCACCCTCACCAACACCACCATCAACAATCTTCCTCGACACCACTATTAACAATCACCCCATCAACACCATCAACAATCTCCCTTACCAACACCATCATCAACAATCTCCCTCACCAACACTATCATCAACAACAATCTCCCTTGCCAACACCACCACCAACAATCTCCCTCGCCAACACCACGATCAACAATCTCCCTCACCATCACTATCATCAACAATCTCCCTCACCAACACTATCATCAACAACAATCTCCCTTGCCAACACCACCACCAACAATCTCCCTCGCCAACACCATGATCAACAATCTCCCTAGCCAACACCACGATCAACAATCTCCCTCACCAACAATCTGTCTCATCAACACCACTAACAACAATCTTTCTCGTCAACAAAACCATCAACAATTTCCCTCACTAACACCAACAATCTCCCTCACCAACACCGCCAACAATCTCCCTCACCAACACCACCATCAACAATCTCCCACATCGTCATCTCCAACAGGAAGCTGTTCTTCCTTCCCCCACCTCCACCCACATCCTCCCCAACATCCACCCTACAGGCGCTACAACACTGTCTTACAGCTGGCCTGACCATCGCTCCTCACGGCTCTCTGAACTAAAGGCTTCCTGGTTTATGTACACTAAGTAGTGATTTACCTTACACCCAAAATAAATCTTTCCCCTTTATGAAAAAATTGCGCCGAAATGGGCCAGTATATTTAGCTGTCTTCATAACGTGTATCTGAAAAATATAATTTAGTTAGAGAATAAAACGATATATATATATATATATATATATATATATATATATATATATATATATTATATATATATATATATATATATATCAAGTGCCTCGCACTTGACGGAGGCTCGAGCCTCCAACTCGTATTGCGTTGAATTACCAAACAAGGAAACCCGCTTCACATAAGTAATTATAATTTAGCGATGTAGGCGCCAACGGCACTCAGCTTGGCAAGACTCTGGCACCTGCCATGACCAAGTCAAATGAACTACAACGCCTCAACGGCCGCCTGATTTACGCTGCGTCCCGTTTACGACGGGAAAAATATTTTGGTGATTATTTATGACAGTCGACTTCGGTCAGAAAATTTTGTTTCCGAAGTTGTGAGGAAGGTGAATATATATATATATATATATATATATATATATATATATATATATATATATATATATATATATATATATATATATATATATATATATATATATACTCTCCTCTAAAACTATGAAGTGTGAGTGAGAGGTCGCTATGTTTCCCTGTCATATTCCATCACTCAGAATGGATTTCATGGTGGAAAAATAGGGGGTTGCAGAACCAGCTTATATGGGCATGTCGTTTCGCGCTATGTAGAGCTTTATTATGCTGTTTGGTGCAGAGCTCTATCGTGTCGACGCGCGCAGAGCTTGATGTCGATACGTGCACAGCTTTTTTTCATTTCGCACTGTGTAGAGCTTTATAATGTTATCTAACTCTATGTTGAGCTTCATTAAGAATCTTTGCGCAGAGCTTTCTCAAATTGCTGTGTACAGAATTTTATCACTAAAGTTATAGAGAGAGCGAAACGTTCTCCAAATAAAGCCAAGTAACGAATCTGTCTAGTGTAATAGAGAAGCATCGCTAGGGGGACGAGACTATCGTCAAGACATCGTCTCTTTGGGTCCAGGAGCAACGACACCTTCCAGGGTTTCCTTCCAGCAGCGCTGGAGTCACTGTTACTTGTGAATGACCACCTCCCATGATAGCCCAGCGCACAGTGTGGCATGCTAGGTCAGGCAGCAGGATACAGCCGGTGCCGGGCGTCCCTGGTAAGTAATGAACGTGTACAAACTTCACGAAGGTTACCTACCCTTAGAAGGCAGCTAAACATGGAAGGGTATTAGGCGAGTGGGATAACGGTAGCGAATATTTAACGTGATGCATAAAAGAATGAACCCCGACACAGCCGCCCCTATCGATTACCTCTGCCGGCGTCTAATACAGGGTACGCCTGGCGGTCGTACGCCAGACAAGCTGTCAGGCGGGTGTCAGCTCTGCCGCCAACGTTTATAAGATAAGGTGGGGAGGAGCTGACAGCTGGGGGGTGGGAGACGGCTAAAGCCCCACTCTTAACTTTTCGAAACACAGAGGCTCTCTGTGTGAGTATATATATATATATATATATATATATATATATATATATATATATATATATATATATATATATATATACCTCGAATATTAACTCAATTTCCGGAGCACAGGAATGAGTGAAGTTTGAGAATATTGTTCCGGCTGGAGCAGGGTGAAGCCTCGGTCGTACCTTGAAGGTAATACAACGGTAATATTGCCCTTCCCTGAATACCCACGACTCGTCAGGTTTCCCCACTACCAAGACCTTTATTACCGAGGGAAAAATAAAATATAGAAATAACCTGAGATGAAGGAACTGCTCTCAGGAGTCTTCCAGGGGTAATAAATATGAAGAGAAATTAATGTATTTATGATAGTAGGATGTGTGAGTGAAGGTGACTCATACTCGAGGATTAGTAGTAGTAGTAGTAATAGTAGTAATAGTTGTAGTGGTAGTAGTAGTAATAGTTGTGGTAGTAGTTGTAATGGCAGTAATATAGTAGTTTAGTAGTAGTAGTTGTTGGAATGGTACTAGTAGTAATAATAGCAGTGGTAGAAGTTGTAATAGTAGTGGTAGCAGTAATAGTAGTAGTAGTGGTGGTGATAGTAGTAATAGTAACAGTAGTGGTAGTAGTTGTAATAGTAGTGGTAATAG